TTCAGAAAAAAAAAAAAACGCTTTTTTCGCTCGTAAAAATTTATGTCAGAAATAACGGTTTACCAGTCAGTACTCTGCAACATTTTTATCTAACTCTATTTACTTCTTCTTCCTGTTTTTTTTCCCAGATCCTTTTCTTAGTAGTTTACTATATCCTATGTTTCGTTATAAAAATATAAATAAATATATAAATTTTTAATACAGATTCTTTCCTTTTTTTTTAGTAATCGCTAATTCAAACTTCAACAACAAGAAAAAAAAATTTCTTCTAATAGCAATAATTAAAAAAGCAGAGACAACGAGATATCTTGCATTAAAACAATTATTCTTTGCCAACACATTCGGTAGGTGCTAGCAATTCGCCCATTGTAAAGATGTTTTAACGATAAAACATATAGCAATAATTTAATGCTAATCAACAACCCTTTCTTTAGGTTTTTAGAGACAATAATTCAAAAAAATAAACTTTATAAACCTTGCTATTTTCAGATAAACTGGAAAAAAAAGATAAACTATTCATAGACTGTAGCAAAATTTGGTGGTCATAAGCTGGTTGAAACATATTAACCAAATAAAGCATAAAGTGTAAAAAAAAACTTCAGATTGAATAAAGTGTTCTGTGAAAGCTTTTTCTGTAATTCATTGTTGGTTTCTTAATGGTCCAAGTGGCATAGGACATTAGATGTAGAACAAAAATTCAATGAGGAGCAGGAAAAGGAATAGTAAAGGACAAAGGCGAAAATCAACTAAACGTTGAAGAAGTTATGCATTTGTTCAGAGTCAGTGACGTCAGCAGCAAAGATGCCCACGTGCCGTCCACAACTTTGTTATTCTTCCCATCAACTGCTTTTTTACAAATGATTCGTGAAAAACTTTTTTTTTTGGAACAAATGTGTTTGTTTGGTCTTTTTAGTGTATAAAACTTGTCGTTAGTCTTCGAAACGTTTTATTTTAAGAGTTTTTTGTTCTTTACCTTATCATAAGGAAGAGAGAAGAAACCGTTGTAGAAGCCACGAAAAAGCCAATAAAAAGCGAATTTGAAAGAATGAAAGATAAAAGAAGAGACAAGTGAAAATGACAAGTCTTTTGGAATAGATATTAATATTATCAGATGTATATTCACAGTAAATTGACAACCGCAATAAGTTAAATCCATACTAAGTGACATTTCGCAAGCGGAAATGCTTGAAAGATGGAGGGCACAAAGAACCAAAGAGAAAGCAGATGTAACCGAGGCAAATGAGCAGCAGATTAACTCAAATATCTGTTTACGTCTGCCAGTTAAACTTTTAGGCTTACTAACTAGCTTCCACTAGTATCTTTCTGGTTCTCTGGCAGTTGTATCACAGTAACAATCACGATAATAGCAACGTTAGCAAGCCTGTATAAATTCAAGCTTAATAAAAGATTCATATCTATAAGCTTCAGCTACAACCGCAAAATCCACAGAAGAATCAAAGAAAATTTGACGAAGTTATTTTTCTAATACAGAAAAAGCGGTGTTTTTATCTCTTTCGCTTTACGAATCCATAAAGCCAAGAGCAAAAAACAGATCTGTTTTTTAAAAGACTAATAAATTAATTGCTGCCTGTACACTGTTGCTCCCGTAAATATGGTTTAATCTCAAAGCATTTTTTTTTCAACAACAACCAATCTTATCCTTATTTTTTTTTATTCCGTTTTTCCCTAACACAGTAAAAATAGTTCAACAGTGTAAAGACACAAGTGAAAATAATTTAGAAAAACTATTTTGCAGATTAAAGATAACTTCTTAGCAGTTCGTTTATATTAAAAAAAATCAATGTATCTATTCCCACTTCTTAACCATGACTACCTTCTTTCAGCCACCGGTTCAAAAAACATAAAACATTAAAGATCGTTCAAAAATGTTAACATCAGAATCACATTGGTTTTCTGGTACCAATACTAATTGAGATAGGATTAAAAGTAACCATAGAGAATGGACTAAACCGCCTGCAGCAAGCACCTACCTCATTCTGTTTGACGATTTCAAAACCATTTTTTGAAAAGCCAAATAAAGTGATAGTAGTAGTAATAGTAGTAATAATAGTAAAAATAGTAGAAATAAAATGATAATAATGACAATGAAATTAATAATAATAATAATAATAATAATAATAAGATAACAATAATAATAATAAAGATGCAAGTCGTAGTGACAATAACAGAAGTAGTAGCGGCAGTAGAATAGTAATAATAGTAACAAAGCCAACAGTGCGACTTTCGATACCATTATCAATAATTAATAATCAATAATTAAAAATTAATAATAATAATAATGATAATGATAACGATAACGATAACAATAACAATAACAATAACAATAACAATAACAATAAGTAACAATAACAATAACAATAACAATAACAATAACAATTACAAAGGTAACAATAACGATAACAATAACAATAACAATAACAATAGCAATAAGAATAGCAATAACAATAACAATAATAATAACAATAACAATAATAATAACAATAACAATAACAATAACAATAACAACAACAATACAAAAATAAAAATAAAAATAACAATAGTAATAATAAAACAGCTATTTTACTTCTCGCCACCAGTTAACTTCTAGTTGAAAAGCAACAAAATCTAACCATTATTCACGATAGATGCACTAAAAATTGAATGTTTTTTTTTCCACTTCTTTTCGTCTTGTCCCAGTAACAACAACAAACAACGGAAAGAAAGCAAAGCAAAAAAAATTGAGCTAAAAAAGCTTTCATCCTACTTTCATCAAAATTGATCCAATATTCCAAGAACATTACTGCACCTTTAGCTTTGAAAATTTGTTAAAAAAACTACCCATTTTTTCTTCTTCATCTTTTCTTTATTTTTCTTTCATTAACGGTAAAATTTGTCAAATTTTTTTTTCGCAGATATTTATTGGATAAAAAGTAAAAAACATAGATATACACGCAGAATCTGAAACACGCATCCGTACACAAAATGTACGCACATCAAACGCACACATATCTGAAAAGTACTATCGCATTAAAAATCTTAACTAGGCCTAAGCTAAATTTTTTTTTTTGAGGACTGTTGCTGACACTCTTATAACGACAACAGTTTAAAATAATTAAAAGAAATAAAACATGTATTGATTCTACGTAAAATAACTAAAAATAACATGTAAATCAAACATGACCAAACAGTAAGCTAAAGATATTATATATAAATATATATATATATATATATATATATATAT